CTTTGCTTTCAGTTTTTTATTTTCTTCTACCATGGCTTCATATTTCTCTTTCATTTCTGCCAATTCTAGGCGAAGCAGCTCTATTTCTGGATTTTCTGGGGTAGCAGCTCCTAAGTGATGCTTTAAAAAATCCAAAGCGCTATTAGGTTTCTCTGGTTCTTCATACAAGGCTACCAACACCTTGGTCAGCGTGTCCAGCACCCCTGACTTCTCCAAGTACCTCCGCAACTGCTCGTGCTTCGAGTCGGCAGCTTTTAATGGGCCATAGTGACAGCGGCAGCGGCGTCGCTGGCGCCCTAGAGCATGGCTGGCCAGGCCCTTCGTACAGTTCTAATGGTAGTCAGATGGCTACCTCATTTTATTTATTTATTTATTTGTTGGAAATACGGGAACTAGCTCATTGATGTGATCAGACAAAAGTTTTAAAAATTCTGTAAACGTAGACTTTTCTACTTTCTTTACCACTACTTTCTTTACCGTCAATTTTTTTTTTTTGAAAGAAATTTTTGCTGTAGTGCATGTGCACTCACTGGAAAGACAGAGACAGAAAGCAAGAAATCATCTCCCAAGAGGAATGACCATGCTGCAATCCCTTCTCGTCTATTCTCCTCTCTTCTTCTCTCAGGATTTGGGGCACATACACATGTGCCTGGCATGAGTTTTAAGCCATTGGGTTTGGGATTTGAACCATGGTTGACTACATAGAGGTTTAGTGACATAACCATCATGCCATCTGCTGGTCATTTTATCATCTAATTCTAAGAATACGAGGACACCATGACTACTGGTGTGTTGAAGATTCAAGGTTAAAAGTTTTAAAATTTTTCAGAGACCAGCAAATGGCATAATGGTTACGCTGTTGGACTCCCACATAATCAGCAGTGGTTTGACTCTCAGACCCAGCAGCTTAAAACTCACACTGAGTGCTTGTGCATGCGTGCCTAAAATCTGAAGAGGAGAATGGAAGAGAAGGGATTGCGGCGGGCATCCCTCCCGGGGGAGTGATTTCTTGCTTTCTGTCTCTCTGTCTCTCTGTCTGGTGAGCGCATGTGCCCGATAGCAAACATCTATCTAAAAAAAAAGTTTAAAAAATGTTAAGTCTACACTTACAGACTGTTATATACCAGCAACTCTACTAAGCTAATCATATATGCTATCTCCATTAATACTTACAATAATAGTATTTAGCAATGCTATTATTGCCCTGATTTTACAGATGAGAGACATGAGTTATTCCAGAAAGAGCTGGGGCTGGGAAATGTGGAACTAGAATCACCCTCTTCTAAATCTCTGTGTCCTTAGGCAATTCCCTTACTCTTCCTTGGATCAGCCTCTGGATGACTTCGAACCTCTGACATTAGAGAGCCGTGACTCTGAGTTAAAACTCCTCGGCAGGGCCCACTGTTACGCCTCAAACAAGAAGCACCCATATTAAGAAATTCGGAGATAAAATAAACATCTTTTAGTGCCTTATCAACTGTTCAAGTAGGAACTTTAATTTCTGGTAGACGTTCATTTACTCTACTTGAGAAAACTGGCTGAATTGTTTAAGACAGTTTAGACTAAAATGGCATGATGCTTGCGTAGAAGCCAGAGAGTGCCACCTGGCTGAGATGTTGCTATTACCAGTACTAATTATCTTTTCTTGGCAGCTAGAGCATGACTTGACTTGTTGATTCTAAGGCTTGTTCCTTAGAATCTTCCCAGAAGGGACTGACTTCCCCTCCCTGGTCTGAAGAAACAAATGTTGAGAGAGGTGTGACTAAGGAGTCTCAGGACAAGGCGAGTACATTATCAGCTCCAGTTCTAAGAATTCCGTTACTCCATTAAGGATAGGGAGACCACAACTAGGAACAACATCCAGCAGATCATGACAGAGCCAGAGGAAAGCTAGAGCCTGCCAATTCAGCTTTGGAATGTTCCAGAAAAGCATTCTTGGGACCCTGATTATATTTATATGCTGAAATGATTTCTATTCCTTACCAAAAAAAAAAAAAGAATATTTTTGTTTTCCTGTTGATTAGCACCTACTTAAAACATAGTGGACATTAAAAATGCTTCAGCGAGGGGCCAGCAAGTGGTGTGGTAATTAAGGTGCCACATGGGCCGCCTGTGGTTCAAATGTCAACAGCTTGAAAATCACACCAGGCATGTGTGGGTGCATACCTAAAATCCTTAGAGGAGAATGGAGGAGAAGGGATTGCGGCATGGCAATCCCCCCTGGGGAGTGATTTCTCACTTTCCCTCTCACTTCTCTCTGTCTCTCTCCCTGACAGGCTCATGCACCCTATAGCAAAAACCTGGAAAAAAAAATTTTTTTAATTATTCAGAGAATGAGTGAAAGAAAAATACCTTTTAATTAATGAAAACATTTATCATGCACACCTTTTCTTCTATTTTTTCCTAAGGAGAACAAAGAAAATAAATTATAAAAATCAAAGGCAAAAATGGATAAATTTAAAAATATGAAACAATGTATTCGATATGCAAATCAAAGAGCTGGTTCTCTGAAGGAATATACAGTTTGTGGACACATGTAAGCAAGAATGGAAGAATTTACAAATAATTAAGAAAGCATAAGGAAATATAACCACAATTATATGTATTTCCCACTCATTAAGTCCAGAGACTGGAACTTTTTTCCTGAAGTTTGGTAAAATTCAATCTTTTGTAATGTGTTAAATAATTTTTTAAAAAAAAAAAAAAAAGATAACTGATCAAAACTATATAACCAATAAAAATATTAACAGTATTTTTTAAATAATTATTTAATTTAATTTAATTTATTTATTTTATTTTTGAAGGGGGAGAAGTTTTGCTGTAGGGCGCATGTGCTTGCCAGAAAGACAGAGAGAGACAGAGAGATAGAAAACAAGAAATCACTCCCCAGGGGGGATGGCAATCCCTTCTCCTCCAATCTTCCCTCAGGATCTTGGGCACGCACGTACACATGCCCAGCTTGAGTTTAAGCCACCGGGTCCAGGACTCAAACCATGGTCGACTAAATGGGAATCCAGTGACATAGCCATTACACCAACTGTTGGTTCCTCTCATTCATCTATTTTTAATTTGACCAGAGAGAAAGAGAGAGAGAGAGAGAAGGAGAGAAAGTGAGAAAGCAAGTCACCAGGTTCGTGATTCGAATCGTGGCTGGCCATGTGAGAGTGTCCAGTGCCTTAACCACCATATCACATGCTGGTCCCAAAAATATTAACAGTATTTAAAAAAATAAACGGATTCTAAATTCCATAGGAAAAATGAACAATAAATGCCAGGGGAAAAATCTGAAAAATAATTTAAGAGAACAGTGGCCCTATTAAATGTTTAAACATGTTAAAAAGCTGAAGTGATTCATGTGGAGCCAGGCAGAAGTGGAGGGGGCTTCTGAGGAATCACAAGTGGTTGATGAACTAAGGCTCTGAAAAGGCGGCGTGTATGCCGGGGCTCAATCTGGGAGAGACTCTTCTGCTGACTCTTAACTGTTCCTGGGAAAATGGATCGTTCTGATCATACAGAATGAGATCTATAGCCAACAACACGATCCAGCAGCCTTCTCACCATCACCTGGCCACCACAGCCTCACATTCTCATGGGAGAGGAGACATGATGATAATGATTTATGACCTTCTACTTTGACTTTAAGAATGCAGAACTATTATTTTCCGGTTTAGGGATGAATACAGCTGGAGAAATGCCTGGAGCTTTTGTGGCAGTGTTTTCAGTAGCAATATTCTATAAAGGGCTCAAGGTAGCTGGGGAAAGCCTGCCGCGAAAGCAACAATTCGGTGTTCACTACAGTTCCATGCCTGTCCCAGGACCAAACGGAACCATCCTAGGGAGATACACACCACTGTCGGGCCATAGAGGCTGACCTTCCCACACCTCCTGCAGACAGGGCTGCGTGTCATCCGGGTGATCATCAGTTACTTCTTCATGCTCACCTCCATGACCCACAGCGGGGACCTCTGCATTGTGACACAGCCCCGGACTGTACTGGTTGCCTCCTTCTCAGTTGGAAGAAGGCAGTGATAGCAGACCTCACAGAGCGCTGCCATTAACAGAGACTCCATGGTGTGGCTTTACCAATTGCAAGGGGAAGCAATTAGCAGCTGCAAGACATGGTTCCAACTCCAATCATCCTTTCTTCCTCCAATTTTTTTATACATGCACATACACACTCACGCACACACACACACACACACACACACACACCACTGCTCAACAGAGATTTAGTTTAGTTTCTGAACTAAAGAGAAAACCTCCCAAACTATTTTTTCCTGATAAGCTGAGATTCCTATTTCTCTTGAAGAGGAGTCACCAATGAGATGTCTTCTTCATCATCCAAGATCATTATACGTTCTTGTCTAATCCAGGTAGCTTTCTGTTCAATGACTAGATTATCTATTGTCTTTTAAATTTTTCTGGTCTTTTTTTTATAGAAAATATGTGAATTTGGTGTTTTTCATTTCTTTTTTCTTGGTCAATAATAGAAATTATTAATTATTACTTATAAATTAACTTCAGCGAGGATTGATGACTGCTAAGAGAAATTCTTGCCCAACTAAATCTAGAAGTCAAAGTTCACTTCAGAAGAAAAGTTTCAGTTCTTGAACTCAAAGAGTGGGAAATACATAGTGTGTTTCTTCAGGTATGATGTGTTACATCAGAATCTTTATAACTGCAGAGTGGTGGCTTGAGGCTCAATATAGGCCTTGAGCTCTCAGATTATACATTCATTACTCATCAGCTTGTGTTCCCACTTAATATTTTGATTAGAATAAACTTGCCAATCAACAACAACAACAAAAGATCATCAATTTGAAAAAAGAGAAATAGATTTTTTTCCACTGGCGGGACCAGCAGATGGCATAGTGGCTACATCACTGGACTCCCATGTAGCTGACCACAGCTTAAGACCTGGATCCGGTGGCTTACACTCATGCCAGGCACATCCCCAAGATCCCAAGAGTAAAATTGAGGAAAAGGGATTACAGTGTGGCCATTCTCTCTGGGGGGTGGTTTCTTGTTTTCTCTCTCTCTCTCTCTCTCTCTCTCTGTCTTTCTGGGCAAATGCACATGCCCTACAGCGAAAACCTCTCTAAAATAAAAATAAAAATAAAACCACTGGCATTTTGCTTTGCCTTGGTACCTTGGTTTGTTCCAGCTGATGAAACAAGAGTTGGGATTTTTTTTTACCTTTCTGTTTTTGTGTGTCTGTTTATAATCCAGTGATTTTTCAAACTTTAGCATGCATCAGAATCACCTACAGGGTTTGCTAAAACACTAGTTGCTGGGTCTCATTCCTAGAGACCCTAAATTGGCATCTCTAAGTTCCTACCCAATACTTCTGCTGATGGTCAGAGGATCATACACTTTGAGAATCTCTATTTTGTTTATTTATTTATTTATTTATTTATTTATTTTAGAGAAGTCTTTGCCATAGGGCATGTGTGCTCGCCACAGAGAGAGACAAAGAGACAGGATGCAAGAAATCAGTCCCCGGGGGGATGGTCATGCTGCAATTCCTTCTCCTCCATTCGCATCTCCAGATTTTGGGCATGCACACACATGCACCTCACATGAATTTTAAGCCACCAGGTCTGGGACTTGAACCACAGTCAATTGCATGGGAGTCCAGCAACGTAATCATTACACCATCTGCTGGTCCTGAGAATCTCTATTTATTTTTTTCAAGATTATTTTACTTTATTTACTTATTTACTTATTTTGATTTGACCAGAGAGGGACAGAGAGAGAGAGAGAAAGTGAGAAAACAAGCACCAGGTCCAGGACTCGAACCACGGTCGGGCATGTGTCCAGCACCCTTAATCACCATGCCACCTGCTGGCTCAAGAGAATCTCTACTTTAAACTAAAGAAGTATTATCTGGTGGTGGGCTACGTGGTACTAGGCACAAGAATTCAAGGTGCTAATTGATAGCTGGCACACCTGGGCGTAACTCATACAGGAAGTGCTGTTGGTCAATGCTTACTCATTCTGCAAACATTTACTCAGCTCTACCTGTGTACACGTGCACCCAGGCACACATGTGCGAAGGGTTGTAGCCAAAGTGCCTTTATCAGCGGTTATGAGATTACTAATCCTTATTTTATTTTTAAAGAATTATTTTATTTAACTTTATTTATTTATTTAAATTTGACTAGAGAGGGACAGAGAGAGAGAGGAAAAGTGAGAAAGCAAGCTGTCAGGTCCAGGACTTGAACTGTGATCAGCCAAATGGGAGTCCAGTGCCTTTAACCACCATGCCACAGCTGGCCCCACTAATCCTTATTTTAAAGGATTTTAAAATATTTTAAATACTTTAAACTGTGGTCTCTTGGAAATATCCACAGTTTGAAGATTGAGAGAGACCTTTGATCTACAGTGTAAATCAGTCAGTCATGGGTCACAAGGGCAAAAGCCCAGCTTG